GACTCCAAAACCCTTTAATTAAGGAAGATACCTTAAATTAGAATGGGGAACCCTAATAAGATTTAAGGTATATTCTTAAATTAAAAGGTGTTGGCGTCTCTGGGTTCAGCTTTCTCCTAAACCCTAAACCCTTAACCCTAGAATAGCATTCAGCTTTCATCCATACCAGGCTGTTGCCGACTCAGATGGAGGCCAATCTATTCCCCAGCACGGAGCACGAACGAAGGACCGAGAGCGAGCCCCGCTAACAGCGGGAAGCATTTGTAAAGGCCCCAATAGAACTTTCATATGAAATTGTAGAAAGATGTCCTAGAGACATCCTTTAGGGCACCCTCTTAGGAGAAAAAATGGTAACGGCCTCTCGGGACGCTTACGGCTAATCCGGAGGATGCGGGTCTCGAAGTTAAGAGCCTCGGTGATTCTGTAGAGTTCCGATATGTTATAGGGCTTAGGGCTTAGGTTTTAAGGCTTTAACTCTAAACCCTGGAACCCCTAACCCCAAAATCCAAAAGCCTGAAAACCCTAGAATTTACTAAACCCTGGACCCTACAGACGACACAAAATCTGGAAAAACCCAAAGGTTTGGCCAGAGACACGGAGCGGTCAGATCTCCTCCTGAAGCCTGGTCCTCGTTCCCGGGTGCTGGACAGATCCTGGCACGTCCGAAGCCCACCGGGCGAGACCCCTCAATTGATGATGAGAATGTCAACTGCTATAAGTGATGAAGGTGGTGGCGATGATATTGGTGATGTTATGACGAGGCACATTCGACTTACTAATTACTATGTCTTAGTTGCTACTTACCGCTTCTTGCTTGCTACTTACTACTTACTAACTAAGGGTTACTACCTACTGCTTGCTGCTTACTGCTTGCTACTTGCAACTTGGTAGTTACTTCCTGCTACGTACGACCTACTGCTTGCTAGTTGCTGCTGGCCTGCTTACTAACTACTAGCTACTAGCTGCTTCCTGCTACCTAATACAACATGCTACTTACCAACTACTAACTAACTACTAACTCCGAACTACAAACTCCTTTCTACTAACTACTACCTACTACCTACTACCTACTAACTACTAACTACTAACTACTAACTACTAACTACTGACTACTAACTACTAACTACTACCTACTATCTACTACCTACTAACTACTAGCTACTAACTACTCACTACTCACTACTAACGACTTAATAGTATTTCCGCAGTACGAACTACTACTAACCTTTAGCTACCATCTACTTGTCGCTGCCTACCAACTATTAAATACTAACGACATACGACTAACCACCCACGGCTAACAAGTAACCACTGACCGCTAACGACTAGCCGCTAACCACTTATACAGTATCGAAAGCTCCACTGAACCGACCCAAAGCGACATACTTCCCGAAGGGTTTAACACAAGAAGGTTGGGCAAGGCTTCTTGGGGTTCCGGCCAGTTTGATTTGAGGCGGAAAATTCACAACAAAGTTCAGCGCCCAGAAGAGGGAGCAGGTTCCAGCACCGGATCCGATGCTTTGGGCTTGAATATCTGCAAAACTTTATTTGTACATGATTTTTTGCTTCTGTGAAAAACCCAGCAGTTTTCAGTGACCTCTTCGATCAGCTTGACTGCGACTTCAAGAGCCAATGGCCACGAATCTCCCCGTCCTTGGATGTTTTGGGCAAAAACCCTAAATCCTAAACGGACACTTCGCCTGCCTGGCTTAATTCCACCATCAAAAACTCCTAAACCCTCATTGAAACTCTGATCAAGCCCCCCTAGCCCCAATTCCCTGCGTGTGCCCCAAGGCGCGAGCACACGTCCGCAAGACCGCCCCCCATTGCTTCCGGTCTGCACGGCCAAGATTGGGGATCTTAGCCACCGCCTCCAACCCGGCCTTGGAAAACTCGAAGCGGCCAATGCAGCAGAAGAGTGGCCGAAGAAGTAGAGAACGGGGTTCATGGTGCAAGTGTCAGGATTTAGGGTTTAGGAAGTTTAGGGCTTTAAAGCTAAAATCTAAAATTGAATACTTCGGGTTGAAGCTCAGAGACTGAGGTTTTGGTTTAGGCAAAAATTTCAAAAATCCTTGCAGCCCAGAAGCCTTCGGTGCCTTCTTGGAGAGGCTTTGCAACATAAACAAGAACAGCTTCGGCTGGTTCTTGGCGACCTGACGTGTGCTTGATATCTTGTATCTTGGTGGGTCATGGGACTTAGTAAATAAGGTGGTTGCCTATCTCTCTGTGTCTTGCACAGCAAGTCCACAAGTGAGACTACTCGTCAGCAGCCCTTTCAGCTGTTCAACATAAAACGTCTACATTGGCCCGAGCCTTCCTATTTTGAGCTAACGGCTGTAGCGTCCTCTCCCGAAGCGCAGGGTATGTGGAAGGGCTTGGGGCCGTGTTGGGCTGAGGAGAACTGTCAAAAGCTTCAGAGCTCAGAGAAGTATATAGTGGTACCAGCTATTATGTCTATGAAACCACCCTGAACCCTAAACCCTAAACCCCTAAACCCCTAAACCCCTAAACCCCTAAACCCCTAACCCTGAACCCCAAACCCTAAAGCCTAAACCCTAAACCCAGTACTAAGAAGAGGCAGAAGTTTCCACAGCTTTCCGGGCCACCCCATTGGAAACCTCGGGCTGCTGTGCGAGCAGCTCCAGGAACTCGAGAGCCGCGGGCGTGGAAGCCACACAGCGCGAGACCACCTGGGGTTTAGGGTTTAGGGTTTGGGGTTTAGGGTTTAGGGTTTAGGGTTTGGGGTTTGGGGTTTAGGGTTTAGGGTTTAACGTTTGGGGTTTGCCACCTCCGCAGGGCTTTTAGGACTGAGGCATTAGGGCCTCGAGGGTTTACGGTTTTAAAGGCATCCCCAAAGGATTTGCTTGAAGGGATCTATAAGGGCTGGCTTAGGGCTGACAGGGTTTAGGGCGTTTAGGAGCCAGAGGCCCTAGGTCGCTCAGGGCACTGCGTGTGTCTCAGTCTTCCGTGAAGGCGTTAGGGGGCGGTTGAGGCTCGAAGCCTCCAGGCTAAGTCTTCGGGATATTTGTGGTGCAGAATAAACGGAGTTCTGGCTAGCTGAGGGTTCGGGTGTGAGGCTGCAAAATGGAGAAGATAACAGTGGAGGAGACTCTCTTCTAGTCTAGCAAAGTGGGAAATTTCTTCGGGCGGTGGATCGGAAAGGGGGTCGGTGCGGTTTGCAAGTGTGGGGAGTCACTTCTGCAGCTAAGCTTGACATCTTTCCTTTTTGGATGAAAAAGCCCACCTCACGGAGCTCCTGGTCTGCCCACTGCTTCTGCTGGGAACTCACGATCAAGCGCAGGGTCAGCTGCGGCAGCCGTGCTGCAATGGAGACGGCCGTGTTAGATGGCACGGCCAGCCGTGGCCACCAGCGTTCGATAAGCTCAGGGCTGGCTCCTTTGAGGAGCCGCGCAGCCGAAGCGCCGTCAGTCGAAACGAGTTCGCTGAGAAGCTCTTCAGTAACCAGGCCTTGCAAGGCATTGTGACTCAAGCGACCCAGCGCGCGCAGTGACACCCGCCGGCGCGCCGCGCTTAGTGGGCTGCCCTCAACGGCACCTCCACCCTGGGGAAGACCAAGAAGGCCGATGAGCCTTGCAGGATCTGTCTTCAAGAGTGCGGTCAGAGCGCGAACGCCCACCGCATGGGAACCCGAGGTTGCAAGCTCAGCAAGGCGCTCCGGAGACGCGAGCCAGGCAGCGTGAACAGCCCAGGCACCCCCAAGGCCAACGGACATTGCTGGTTCCCAAAGCTCCTTCAAGAGCTCTTCCAGAGCTTCTCTGCGTAAGGCCCGGAGACGCTGCACGGCCTCCTTGTCGTAAGCACCCTGCTGGGCGAGCTGAACCAAGGCCTCCATGGACATGAGACCTGTCCCTGCATCCCGAGCCACAGCTGTACTCCAGCTTCTCAATGATCTGAATGACTGTGGGCCACGGCCTTTCCACAGGGCTCGATGCAATTGACATTACCATAGTTCGGATTGATGGTGCATAAAATGGCTTCCTGCTTATGAAGGAGAATAGTTCAATATTTCCCTGGTATCTAAGCTACTTTTCCTATTCAAGGGGTATTGGTCTCTCTGGGTACACAGCATGCTGCACAGCTTGCGGCGTGCATTCCTGATCTTGTTGGTCACATGCTGGGCGAACCCCACACTACCACGCTGCAGTTTCAACTCAGTTCTAGGTTTCGACAGGCTTGTTGGGGCATCGTCGGGAAATTGAAACAAATATAAACATATGTTGTCTTCCACAGCTAGAGCCACACGTCATTGCCTTATCAACAACAAGGGGCGAAAGCTAGCTAATGCAACTAACGTAAACACGTCGTCCAAAGCAAAACCGAAGCGGAACTGCATGCTTTCGCTTCATGTGCGGCGCAGGTATGTGCCGAAGACTCGCACTGTTTCCCCGTTTGCTCGTACAAGACAGCTCTTACACTTCCACGTCACTTCTCGTATGTAAGAACACAATGTAACACAATGCCTGGAGCCGTGCAGTATAGTCTCAAGGGCTCGGCATGGTGCAGGCGATGCATGAGTATGTCAATGCCCGAGCAGAAAACGTGAGCCCTCACTCAAGGTTTACAAGGTCTGCTACGAATACGGTTAAGGTTTGTGTTGGCTCTACTAAAGAACTACCTTAACCCCAAATAACCTATCTTTTGATGGCATTTGCTAGATCCCCAAATTCCCCGACCCCCCCTGGGCACCTTTCGGCCGGCAGCCTGTGATGCTCGCAGCGACTGCTACAGCGCTGCAGCTGGAAGGAAGGGCAACAGATGGCGAGGTCCTGCGACGCGCGGATAGTTTTGGGGCTTTTGGGCTGCTGTCTCTGGTTTAAGGTTCTGAGTTTCGGTGGAGTTTGGGTCGCTTGTGAGGGTTTTCGGGGGGTTGCCTTGCTAAGAATGGAAAACATTGGGGTTGTTGGTCTAGTTGGTATGGCTTGGGGGGCGGATGTTCCGGAATTCTTGACATTCAAACAAAGCCTGGACTCTACGGCCGTTCTACACTCTGGAACCCGCAAAACGACAGCCTAAACCCCAAACCCGAAACCTTGAATCCCAAAGTCTTCGGTTTAGCGGCCTCAGGCCGAAAAAGGATATGTGTGTGTGTGTACTTACGTATATTTATATGTGTGTGTGCATGTGTATGCATGAGCATGTGTGTATGTTTGGTTGTATTCTTGTTTGTATGCTCTTGTGCTTCTATATTTGCGTGTGTGTGTGTGTGTGTATATATATATATGTGTGTGTGTGTACATATGTATGTGTGCGTGCGTGTGTGTGTGTGTGTGTCTGTATGTGCATGTATGTGTATGCAAGCGTATGTGTGTGTGTGTGTGTCCATGTGTGCATGTATCTTCATGTGTATAAACATGTTGACGCATGTAAATATGTATTAGCTTATGGAAATGTATATGTATGCATTTATGTTTATGTAGATGCCTGTGTCTATGTATATGTGTATGTACATCCATATGCATATGCATATGCATATGCATATGTACATGTATGTGCAAATGTATTTGCATATGTATGTGTATATGCAGATACATTTGTGTGTGTACATGTATATGAAATTGTATATAAACCTAAGAAATACGTTTATGCGCACTTACGTGTATTTGTTTGTGTTTTATGCGTATGTACGGGTAATGTGTATGCTCGCTCGTTTATATGCTTGCATGCTCTATGAATGTACATATATCTATACTTATACCCATACCTATGCCCATACATATGCATATATGCACATACACGAACATAGACACAGATAAACATACGCACGCACACATAAACATACACATGAACTTGAATAGACGTCACATACACATAAAAATATCCATGCACATATACAAGCATACACATGCAGATGCATACATACATGCAAACAAAAGTACGTACATACATACATTCATAAATACATACATACATACATACGTACGTACTTACATACATACATACAGTTACATGCATACGGATACATACATTTGCCTACAAATGCATGCATATGCATGCGCATGCTTGCATATGCATGCATACACATATACATGTACAAATACATAAATAAGCACATATACATACATATACTTACATGTACAAGCAGATACATACACATGCATAGGCATAGGTAGGGGTATATATAGGTATAGGTACAGGTATAGGTACAGGTATAGGCACAGGTATAGGTATAGGTATAGGCATTGGTATAGGTATCTGTGTCTGTATGTATGTACACGTCTATGTATCTTTTGTTTATGTAGCTCTACATTAACCGCAAAACCTGATGCAAAAAATGTAAAAAATGTGTACTTAAACAACTCAACCTTCTCTGGAATCGCTTTGATATCGAGGACTCCAAGATGCAGACCGCAGAGGGTTGAAAATCCCAGGCACTAAGCCCTAAATCCAAAACCACTTACCCGCGATGGCTCCGTGAGTGCTGCCGAAAAGAAGGGACAGCAGGCCGCCAAGTGGTCCAAAGCTAGGCGCAGAGCCGTTTTGCAGACAAGGTTTGTTGTTTACATGATTAGAAAATTTTGTTCATGCGGGCTTTTCGAGAGCGTGGCTTGCGGATGGTAATTCCAACAACCCAGCCCTAGCCGCCATCCCTACTCGAACAGAAACCCGCAGCCCCAAATACAAAACAAGGCTACAGCACATCCTCAGACCCTTAAACCCGAAAACACCACATCCCAAACCACCAAGTCAGCCAGACCAGAACGCAACAGTAACGCCAGTGATGCCAGTGATGCTTCCTTGTAAAATCGGGGACTCACATAGCGCGTAAACAACAACCTTCTTATGATAAGGACCTTGATTAAGAGACATTCTTGCCAAACGTTCGTATGCAGAAAAGCACCACGCGAAGTTTTTCTGCTACATACCCACCGACTGTCCAGGCCTTCCCTCTCTCACTGAGTCATGTAACGAACATGAAACTCCTGTTGACACCAATGAGTGAACAAACAAGGAAATATACTCCCTAAGCCGTAAACCGTGAACGGCACTGTATACATCTTTAGAGCTCTGCGTCGGGAGACCGAACGCGCAGCGCGCTGAGCGACGAAGGTCGCCGGGGGCCTGGAAAAAAACGCCATCCGAAGCGCAAAGTTCTGTCGGCGCGGGGCTCGGTACTGTGCTGTGACAGCCCTAGATCTGCAAAGAAAAAGGTCAAATAGAGGGTTTACAAGCGTTCACGGTTCAGGTGTGGTTTTGGGCCCCGTGTTTGACCGCTCTTTTGACTTCGCTAAGCGAACTTACTTCCTGAATCGAGACATCCTTCAAGTACAGTTTGTTGCATGTGTTCTTTACGGCCCAAGCCTAATGATTCGGAAACGCAACGTCCAATACACAGCGTTTGTGGCTTAGCGTTAAAAATGAAACGACCCGGCAGAAGTCTACTCCAAGTTAACGCTGTACAAGAGCACAAAGGCTACGATCACGTTGACATGCACACACCGCCCCCAGAAAGGGGTGAAGGCACAGGTTGGCTGGTTGCCCAGCTGCAGCCAGAGTGTCCGTCTAGCGACATGCTTCACTTCAACCCCAGCCAAGCTTGAGATGTTGACAAAAACATCTGTGTTTGTTGTGCTGACAACCTGCAGAAAAATCCTTCGGCTGAGTTCGGGAGCAAAACTAAATTTGCACAATCGAAAACAAACAACACATGCCTAAACACCAGGAAGCAGCAATGCATAATTGTGTGGTTGCAGAAAACACGCGACACAGAACCCAATGCTTAAAGTTGCGACCATCCCAATGCCTGGTTCTCTCTCTCTTGCAGCAAAGCCCGAAGGATCTCGCCAGTTTCCGGATGGCTTCTCCTTGTTGCATCCACGATATGTTTTCATCGCAACTCGCCCCAACACGTTGTGTACAAATGCGTCTTCTCTAGGATTGCGCAATACTGTCTCCAAAGCCCAAAGCCGACGTGACTTGCCTTCGACTCCTCTGCAGCGTCGCGTTGTGTTCCAAATCATTCAATCCGGTAAGATTCTGCTCTCCAACATAACGTGTACTGCCTGCTTTGAATCTCCTTGCAGCTACTGAGCCCAGCACTTTTAGATAGCACGCAAATTGGATTTGTAAGCTCACTGCCGACTGCAGAACTGGCAATGTCTGGTAGAATGAAAAAACGCACAAATTTCCCACAGATATCTTACTATCGGATCTTGTGTAGTGTCAAAAGCGGCACACAACAGATCTTCTCCCGTCCAACATCTAACATCTTTCACTAATCACACGTGCTGACATTTGCACAAACGGGCGGAGGATTCAAAAAGAACATCAGCAGCAAACAAACAAGATAAACAACTGTACAAGACACAGCACCGCGGTCTTACGTGGTCAAACGGTAAAACTGTACAGAAAAACAGATGAAACAAGAACGAAAGTGACGGATGAGCATGTACAAGCGGGCGAAAAAACATCGCAAGCCCGCGTCTGGACGGTGCTCGCCTGTGAACAACGAGTGGTTGCTGTTGGAAGGTGGCAGGGTGCAGAAGAGCTCTCTCAGCTCCGAAGCATTCTCGCGGGTGTGGAGCATGACTGGTTATCTACACCAAACTTGCACATACACCAACTGACGCATGCTCGGTTATTTTTCTTGTTTCGCAAAGACGCGAAAGCTGCTCCAGCATTATGTCCTGCGACGGTAAGTCAAAATGGTCGCATCAAACAAAACGGTTCTAAGGTTTGTGCAACATTATCTGGAACAAATAATAAAATCATGCCTGCTTGGCTAAAAACGTTTGATGGAATGTTGTTCAAATACTTAGAAACACGTAGCTGCAAAAAGCAGTGTTGGAACATAGAACAAAGCAACATGCAAAGCATTCAATCAACTTCCGTGGAATGCTC